TATCACATACAAAACACTGAAATACAGTGTCAGATCTATGTAAAATTACGTTTTCAATTTAAAAAAAAATAATTTCCCTCCCTCCCTCCTGTGTCTGAAACCCTTCAGGCGGCAATTCCAAACAAACAACTTTTTAAGGATGGCCTAATCACTGCTATTTTTAAAAGCATTTGTCTACCTTTTCTGAAATTGGTCATCCCCAAATTAACATACAAAAAGACATTATTTTAAATTGAAATATTAATTCCTTTTAATGATCGTGTACATTTTCTTGTCACAATGTGTATCTAGGAAATTTGTTTTATCTATTTGTAAAATGAATTTAACTCACGTATTGTCCACTTGTTATATATAATTTATCATTTTTCCTTAGCTAAAATTTAACATATTCGAGAAGAAAAACTAGATAGACAACTACCTTTAATTTAAAAATATTCCACATGTTTCTTTACAGGGTAACAACAGCATTGTGGATTTAGAAGTCTCTGTAGACTTTGGCAATGGTGGGAGACTGTTTTTGGTTGATGCCTATCCGTCCACAATTTATTCCAGTGGATCAATACAACTAAGACTCGTCAATAATTTTACTTTTGATGCATGGATGACCACGTTAAACATATCTGTAAGTGGTTTGTAGCAAAAAAAAAAAGCGAAATAATTACTGTCGAGGCATACCGTATATACAAGACATAGCATTTCATTTCTCACAAGGGTATGTAGTTTATAAAGTCAGCTGAAACGAGAGAAAAGGTGGAGTGAGTAGATTTTCAAATGAAACCTTAAAAGAATATCCTTTATAATTTTTATCTCTTCAATATTACTAGTTTGATTTACAATAATTATCGTTAAATGTCATGACTCTCTTTAGTACGAAAAAGGTTCAATAAATTTTTCCAGGTGAAGGCTGTAGACAGAGGTGTACCAAGACGGTCTAGCTCTTGTCAAGTGATGGTTCACATCAACGAAACTAACAAATTTTACCCACAATTCATTTCAAGCGCCTATAGTTTCATGATTCCAGAAAACTCAAAATATGGAACTCTAGTAGCAAATGTACAGGTACATGTAATCAGTTAGCATTTTCTGGAGTAAATGTGTAACCTTATGATACTTTCAAGTATTTTTTTTATATTTCATTTACAATACTAAAAGTCTTCATTTGAAATATGTTAACTTCATTAACACTTAAAAATTGTACTAAAAGGATTAAATAATTAACATCAATATTTCTGTATCTAAATTATAGTGAATAGGAGATTGTTCATTAATCTTATATTTTCGCTCATTAATCGTGTATTGTAGCATATTTATATGTTTTAATTCTAGGCCCATGATATGGATACTGGAAATTATGGAAAGGTTCAATTCACGTTATCAGAAACAGATAATTTGTAAGCCATAGTTTATATAAATTAGATTTAATTAAGCTTAGTAAGTTTTAAGCTTAGAAATAATGATTGATTGTACATAATTTATACTGCAAATCAACCCATTTGCAGTAGTTTATTTAATACGTATGAACAATTTTTTAAAAAGAGGTAAATTGACAACCACGTTGATGAAACAGGAATATTAGAAGTGACGTTTAAAGTCATCATTTCGCAAGTTTTATAGTCGATACAATGACATTGTCAGCAAATTTATCATCAAGTCAAATGCTGATTGACGTTTTTTTCATACTAATTGTTGGTCCATCATTTATACACTGAATTGACGAGGGATTTTTCCTTTATATCCCGATCATGACAAGGAGCACACGGCAGGTATGACAGGTCAACAGGGGATGCTCACTCCTCCATGGCACCTGATCCAACCTCAGATGTTTTAGAGGTTCTATTTTGCTCTGCTATGTTCTCCTATTTTGTATTGTTTTATGGACTTTTGATCTTGAATACTGTTCGTTATCTCCGTGTTTCATTTCATTAAAATTAAACATGAGAAGAGTTTTATGTGAATTCCAGGTTCAGCATCAACTCTAAGACTGGAGTAATATCAGTGGCATGTAACAGCAGTTGCTTGGACAGGGAAAGACAGAGAGTGTACTATATGTCAGTTGAAGCAAGAGATGGTGGAGGAAAGGTGTCGTCTGCTCCTGTGAAAATAACACTCATGGATGTAAACGACAACAGTCCGATGTTTTTACAGCCAAAATATGAATTTGGGATCACAGAAAACTCTTCATTACTCTCAGGAAGGAATAACTTCACTGTACATGTAGGTTATATAGTCGATCTTTTTTTTTGGGGGGGGGGGGTGGGTTCTATAAGTACGGTGATTGTTTTTATGATAACTGTTGATTGTTACCACTCAAAATGATATGACAACCAAGCAATGAATTATTTTCCTTTTATCTATTCATTTTTACCTCTTGTAACAATGCCCATGGAGTTCTGCAAATTCAGATCTGTACTCACCACTTAGGAACTTTGATCAGTAGGGAATTCTTTTGCACCATTTATTACCTACTGGAACACGACCTCAGTTTTTTCACGGTCTTTACGTTTTACTGTGGGATTCGAACCTTCGACGTAAAGGATCAAATCCTTTTTTTTCGCGACTCAAGAGCAAACGTTCTAACCACTGCGACTCCGGATAGTAATGGGGATGTAAGTTTCATTGCGTTTGACGAGTGAACATTTAAATAAAACCAGAACATGAGATTTTAGTGTTATGTACCACATAAAAGATGAATAGAATTTTTTCAAATCAATTTTTCATTATTTTCGAAAAGTTACAACGGAATCAATGACAACGTAAACAGCTTAACATTATACTTCGGCAACTGTTTATCGCTACTAGCTGCTTATATACCGATGTTATTATCAACAATATTATCTTGAATAAACCCTTCAAGAGCTAAAATATTGCATGTACATTAAAAAAATGCAAAAATAGATCCAAGAATTTTATACGATGAAAATAATTAACAATTACTTCTTTAAATAACAACCCAATGAATTACTTTGAAACAATTCACACAATGATATAAATATTCTCTACCTTAATTATGTCTTTGTAGATACATGTATGTAGTTGCATGAACAGTAAGCCTACTTGCCTTGATTACTTATTTTAGGCATTTGATTACGACGAACCTGGTACAGCTAACAGTTTGATAACGTACTCTCTTCTACCTCGACCAGACACCCTAGACAAACATTTCACCATTAGCAGCACTACTGGGTCCATCCGGGTCGTTCACCCTCTGACACGTGACCAGCTATCCTCTATCCCTGGTGGAAGACTAGAACTAGCTGTTACTGCACATGACCATGGTTCTCCAAGTCGGACCTCAACCGTGTCTGTAACAGCTTTTTTACAGGTTCAAAGTTCAATGACTTTCTATGGGCTTTTTGCATTCTGAATTCTTTAAAAACTACATGTATATGGCACGCCAAATTCACAAAAATGAGATAAACCTAGTTTCACAATTGATAAACTAGGTTTATCGACTGTAAACTATAGTTTATAAACCGTAAACTATAGTTTACAAACCGTAAACTGTAGTTAACGATTCGTTAAGTATAGTTTTCATCTGTAAAACTATATTTAACGGTCCTTAACTATAGTTTACGGATGCTAATCTAAGTTTATCTGTCTGAATAAAGCGTTAACAATAGATTTTGTTGATAAACATAGATTCACGTTTGTAAACTATAGTTTACAATCGTAAACTATAGTTAAGAGTTGTTAATCATAGTTTCACAAATCGTGAAACTATATTTATCAGATCGTTAACTATAGTTAACGGTTTGTAAACTATAGTTTACAAATCGCGAAACTGTATTTATCAGATAATCCATGTTTTGAAATCGCAAATGATTGTTTTCGGTGTTAGACATAGTTTACGGTTGTGAAACATAGATTATCGCGTTAACTATGGTTCACAGATGTGAAATATAGATTAACGTTGTTAAGTATAGTTAACAGTCCGTAAACTATAGTTTACAACCGATAAACCTAGTTTATCGATTGTGAAACTATGTTTCGCTCATTTTTGTGAATTTGGCGTGCCATATATGTAAGTTCAATTATTTACATTTACATGTATAACGATCACAAGAAACTTGATATCTATCTTAAGGATATCCGATTCTCAGCTAGGAAGGATAACTCCAAAAATTCATATTTGATTTGAAATGCATCAAAATGAAGCTTAAAAATGAAATTTTTTCATGCAACAATTTTCATTTTATTCATCTTTATAAAATTCAAGGCGTTTCGAAGTCTTAGAAAAGGTCTTTAAAAAATGACATTTGTACCCTATAAAAGGAAAAAACAAATGCTTATTAGCATGTCATGAAATAAGAAGTGATTTGTGGTGTCTTGCAATGATAGCAAAAGCCTAAAACACTATGTATTATAGAATAGATGATGGAAATAGAAGAATTTGTTGATCAATTTGCAATTAGAAAATGCATTGCTGATATTCCAATTCGCTTTTCCTGCAAAAATATTGGAGATTTGACAATTTTCCCTATATAATATGATTAACTTTTATCTTTAATTTTAAAGAAATAATGTGGATAAATTTACACAACTTTGTTGATTCTGAGATACTTTTATGAGTATTTTAGATTACTTAACTTTTAATTTTATAAACCTGAGGATCAGACTACCTTAAGCTGCAAACATTTCTCAGAATTGGAACATGTCTTTATACTAGTCCGAAATATCTTACGTTTTTCAGGGTTTTTTTATGATTTGATATTTTCCATATTTTCACATAAACACATTGTTTGAAATATTTTACAAAACAGATAGTTTTGTTTAAATAGGCACAGTTTCACTCATCTACATCGAGTGCATGTAATATTTCAAGTACAACGACATCAGTGAAGCCCACTCAACATTACTTGAACACTTTTTCAGGTAGATTACATTTCTCTTGAAAGTTGCTTTTACTGATTTTTAGCTCACCTGAGCCGAAGGCTCAAGTGAGCTTTTCTGATCAAAAATTTTCCGTTGTCTGTCGTCGTTGTTGTCGTAAACTTTTCACATTTTCATCTTCTTCTCAAGAACCATTGGGCCAGTTTCAACCAAACTAGCCACAAAGTATTCTTGGGCGAAGGGGATTCAAGTTTGTCCAAATGAAGGGCCACACCTTCTTCTAAGGGGAGATAATTATGAATTAGTGAAAAATTAAAGGCAACTTTTAAAAATCTTGTTCTCAAAAACCACTGGGCCTCAAAACCTGAAACTCATATGGAAGCATCCTCAGGTAGTGTAGATATAAGTTTATTCAAATCATGACCCCCCCCCCCCCCCCCGAGAATATGGTGGGGCCATGATGGAGGGGTCAACGTTTTACATAGAAATACATAGGGGAAATCTTGAAAAACCAGGGAAGATGAAACTCATATGGAAGCATCTTTAGGTAGAACAGATTTAATTTTGTTCAAATCATGACCCCCAGGGGTAGGATGGGGCCTATGGGGGATCAATGTTTAACATAAGAATACATGGGGAAAATCTTTAAAATTCTTCTTCTCAAGAGCAGCAAAGCCATGCATGATTGGTCATAGTTATATGGAAGCATCTTGATTTGGTGTAGTTTCAAGTTTGTTCAAATCATGACCCCACTTGAACCCACTTATATGTTTAAATTTTTCAATACTGAACTGATTTTTGCTTTTTTGTTTTACATTGCCTGAGCTAAAGTGAGCGTTGTGGCCCCTGGGCCTCTTGTTGATATTTTTGATCAATGAAATATACCGTCAACTTTTTTGGTGAAAGTTAAATTGATGCATGTATATGTCAAAGCTTTTAATGCATCTAAAACATGACTTTTTAGGGCAATCATTTGTGTTGTGTGAAGGACAAACGGGTTACATTCAATGTGAAGTAGGGAAGCTAATCCGAATTCTCTCTGCCGTGTATGGAAGACTCACAAATGACATTTGTCCTTCAAGTAACCTTGGTTCTCTTCAGTGTCAGTCCCACTTCTCCACAGACCGTGCTAAGTGGTCCTGTAACGGCTACAGACGCTGTAGACTGTCAGCTAACAGCACCATCTTCAGGGAACCATGTGTCGGTGTCGACAAATACTTGGAGGTTTCTTTTCATTGTGTCGAACAACCCGATATGGTTCATATATTTGGGTAGCCTTTTTTTCTGAAACACATTCAGAACGAGGGAAAAATCATTTTTAAATAAAATTTCATACTTCGTGTGTTTTTGTCTTACCTGCTTTATTAAGGTCTTCCGTTTCCAGCGGAAGACCTTCTACCGATTCTGTTGGTAAAGATTATTAAGGTCTTTCGTCTTCAGCGGAAGACCTTATTGTTTTTCCACTATTTTTAGGGCTTTTCGACTTTTGTCGAAAAGACCTATTGTTTTCGTCTTTTTTATTAGGGCTTTTCGACTTTTGTCGAAAAGACCTATTGTTTTCGTCTTTTTTATTATTAGGGCTTTTCGACTTTTGTCGAAAAGACCTATTGTTTTCGTTTTGTTTATTATTAGGGCTTTTCGACTTTTGTCGAAAAGACCTATTGTTTTCGTCTTTTTTATTATTCTTTTTCTGAACACTTTTCTGTCACAGATTCAAGAAGATCCTTTTAAAATATAAATTTTATTTTATAACCATCTTAAAGATCATGCAAAAGTCTACCGAATGTAAGATTTTGGTTTTCTGGATACGTCACTTCCGGTTTCTAGAAAAGAAAAACAGAAATTCTTTAAAACGCTTAAATCTTTCTTTTTTCATATGCCTAAGCTCTGAAACAGAAAAATACAAGTTTTGAACTTCAAGTTCTATTTAAAAAAATAGCAAAGGCGTTTTTGACCACAAAGATTTTTCAAGATATAAGACTTCAAACATTGCAGAAGGGGGGTTGATATTTTCAAAAGTCACAATAACGTTGCAAAAATTATTTTGAGCATAGAAATATGTTTGAACTAATTAGTAGAACATATTCTGTAAGTTTCATATCAATCAGAGCAGAACTTCCGGTTTTATGAGTCTTTGAAATTTGTCTATGGGAGTTATATGTTAATTCGTAATCACGCGTGGCACGTTTTCTCTTAAAGTAATGACAATTTTCTCGTGAAATTTTAAATTTAGAATGACCTTGATAATGTTTTCCCCTGAAAATACTCTGAAAATGAAAATCCGAAAAATAAGGGATTTTAAGGGGCCAACATTGAAAACAAACTTTTGCCTGTAACTTTTTTATTTCTCAAACATTTTCAAACAGTTTTCGAATTTGAGTTAAGCACAAAAAGGACAATTTAAAAAATATGGTCCGTGGGGTCACTCTTTGACCCCTTAAAGGAGTTTTGGAGACCTGAAAAATTGTTATTTTTAAGTCTTTTCATAAAATGATATTTTAAGAGTTATCTTTCTTTGTCAACCTGTTTAGAGTCTAATACGCTCTCTATGTTTCAATTTTGATTTGAATATGAAGAGTGCTTCCGGTTTTATGAACCCCTAAAAATTGTCTATGGAGTTTTCCATGATAAATATGAAAACATACGATGTCCCATATCTCAAAAGGGAAGTAAGCAATTCTCCTGATATTTCACACGAATAATGACTCTATCATTGTCCCCAGTTGGTAAGGTCATGGAAAGAAAAATCCCTTAAATAGAAGGGACTTTAGGGGTCAGTACAGAAAACAACCTTTTCTCTGTAACTTTTTTATTTCTCAACTAATCTTAAAACTAATTTTGGTTTTGCATTAAACATAAAGAGTGCAGTTTAAAAATTATGGGCCGTGGGGTCACTTTTTGACCCCTTATAGGAGTTTTAGTGAATTGAAAAACAGTATATTTGCGTATTTTTTAAATATTGATGGAAGAGTTATGTCTCTTTGAATAGACACTTCCTTTTAAGGGGTGAAAAGCCCTCCATTTTTGTTGAACGACAAAAAATTAGTTATTAGGGCTTTTCGACTTTTGTGAAAAGACCTTTTTGTTTTCGTCTTTTTTATTATTATTATTTAACACTTTTCTGTAAAATTTTAAAAATAACCTTTTAAGATGTACATAATATTTTATAACCATCTTTAAAAAAATGCAAATGTCTCTTGCGTGTAATGTTTTGGTTTTCCGGATACGTCATTTCCGGTTTTACTAAGGAAAACTAAAATTACTAAGAAGCCAAAAACATTTTTAATTTTAGGTCTAGACTCCCAAATTTGAGATATGAACTCAAGACCTTATCCAATAAATAAGTGCGCGTACTGAAGTTTTGGCTACAGATACTTTTCGAGATATAAGACTTCAAACATTGAAAAAGGGTGGATGAAATTTTTTAAAACAAATTACGTTCAAAAATTTTTTTTGACATAAAAATATGTTTGAACTATTTAGTAGAGCATAT